TCACACACCATTCACTCACACACCAATCACTCACACATCATTCACTCACACACCATTCACTCACACACCAATCACTCACACATCATTCACTCACACACCATTCACTCACACACCATTCACTCACACATCATTCACTCACACACCATTCACTCACACACCATTCACTCACACATCATTCACTCACACATCATTCACTCACACACTCATTCACTCACACACCATTCACTCACACACCATTCACTTACACACCATTCACTCACACACCATTCACTCACTCACTATTCACTTACACACCATTCACTCACACACCATTCACTCACATAGGCATCCATAAGGGGAAATTTGGTACTCCAATTAGCCTCAGCATGTTTTGGGACAGAGGGGGTTAACCAAAGTACCCAGAGGAAACCCCATGATGACACGGGGAGAACATGCAACCTCCACACACATGGATCCATGATGGGGATGAACCCTTGTCCCAGAGATGTGAGGTAACAGTGCTAAGCACTGTGATGCCATCCTACGCATAGGTGAAAAGCTGTGATTCTACCAGCCATAACGCTAAACGCAAAGATAACATACCTTTTTTCTCTTTTTTTTCCTCCTCCTCACCACCAGCACCTAGCAGCGTGAAGATGATTCCTGTCTGGGAGTTGACTCCTACGGCTGTGACCAGCATTCGTCCTGAGCCTTCCATCACATGGGTGCCTGGGGAGGTGGCAGTCAATGGAGGTCACAGGGAAGGTTGCACATGAACAGCAGCCTCCGAGATCCTGTCTACACCCACATTTATAGCAGAAAATTTTAGTCTATGTTGTGCGAGGCATCGTCATCTACATTCTCAGAATTGCAAGTCTGTGTTTTGAACAATACATACATCTATGCTCTCAACAGTATGATGTTAAAGGTACCAAACCAAAAAAAAATTAAACACCTCCTTAGGACTCTAAGACGGTGTGAAATGTGCTGTAGAAGCTGCACCCACCAGAGAGCAGCATGGGGTCCTTGTCTGCTGATTTCCGTACATGGTCAGATTCCCCCGTCAAGGAACTTTCGTCAATCTTCAGGTCATTCCCTTGTATCAAGACTCCATCAGCCGGTAATAGGTCACCTTTGATTTCAGAAATAATGAGACGGCAAAATATATCAAACTGATCTGAAGAGTTGGACATGAACAGAAAAGCCAGCAACAGACAATGAAATAGCATCGATATGTAACCATGTTTTTCATCAAGAAAATAAAAACTAGACACAAAAAAAACCTGTTTGGTCATATTACAGCATATACAAAGGATACAAAAACTCTGGATTCAGTTTATAAGAATATCAGTTATCCGGATCGTACTACTACTATAATATTTAGAAATGTTTCCTGAGCCCTCTCTTCAAAACTGTCTGTCCAAATACTTCTCTAAACTACACCTGAGGAAGCTGTAACTGTGTGGTAGTACTGAGACTGCTTCACTGTAAATCAGGGGTGTTCTGCTTCAGAAAGCAGGCCACGCAGTGAGGATAGCCTGCAAAGGGACAGGATCACGTGGAACCCAAGGTACAGATGACCATCTTAAGAGTATGAAACGGAATGGTCACCTTCGTTATCAGTGAACCATTTCAGAATATGAAAAAGGAAGCAGGAAAATACACACTTTTCTTTTTAGCATAAAATACCCACCGTACTTCACTTGTGCAATATCGCCGACCAGAATGTCAGCCACGGGTATCTGTACGACAGTCCCGCAGCGGATGACGGTGAACTTCTGCTCCTGTTCAATGCGGCTCTGCAGACCCCTGAACTGTTTCTCTTTGCTCCAGTCGTTAAAAGCAGTGACGAGAACCACACACACCACAGAGAGTAAGATCGCGGCTCCCTCTATCCAGCCAGCCTCTGCCTCGCCCTCATCCTCGACCCCTGCAGTGATGGTTCCACATGCTGTGGGCACACAGGCAAAAGAAGTTACAGAACCAGTCAGATTTCACACACATATACACACAAATAGACTCATCTCACGACATATAGTTTTTAAAAACTGACACACAGGCACACGGGTGCATACTTTTGCACACACATACATACACTGTAGCTCTTACAGGATTATGACGTTTTAGTTTTTCCATTGACACACATTCCAGAGAGCATTTCAGAACCAGTGGCGACAGGGTGTTGCTCTCAAAGACTAAGATAAGTTTGGAACTAATTATCTTGTGTTTCAGACCTTAATTTGTAACGTCTCTATCCCAGCATGGTTCAATCTTCCCCTGAAAACGGCTCCCAGCGGAGCTGCTTGTGGCTCTGTGTTGCGCTGCGGTACGAGATCTCAGTCCCGCAGAACGGCCGGCTGGGTGGCTGAGAGCTACTTTCTACAGAACCGTAGGGCAGATTAACAGCCCCCATTAAGGGGAACTTGCTGATGAGTAAACAGTCTGAATGAGCAAATGTTGACTGAACAGGTTGTACATCTATTCTTCAATCAGCAATGTGGAAGTGCCTGTTCGTTAAGTTATTACAAACTCCTCTATCGTTTCTTATTTACAAGTCATATCAGTGCACCTATTAACAAATGAATATTACTTTATATGTGACTCCTGACACCATAAATCTTTGTTTTCTGGAACCTAACAGCACAAAAACAAGGTATTTAAAGAAACTGTAAAGCTATCAGAGCACAGAGTCATTTGTTCATGTTCTTACTGTCTTTGATCTCAGCTTATTTAGTCAGCACTGCATCTATTTATTATCACTTACAAAGACAAGATAGCCTGAGTGGCGTGTTTTTTGGAAACTGGGTAAAACTGGGTGAAACCGGGATACCTGAGATCTCATGCAACGTCTTTACTGACCAAATTCAAACCTTCAGCCCTGAGGCAATGAGGCTGCACTAATAATATTTAATAAAATAACGGCTTCGCTTCCTATCATCCAAATATAAAAAAAAAAGATGATGTCTTTTCATTAGATTACACCTGCAGGTTCGGAGGTTTAAATCACAGCCCAGACTTCTGTTTCTGGAGTTTGCTCGTTTGTTCTGTGCTGTAGGCCTTTCCTCACTGTACTCTCGTTTCCTCCCACAATCCATTAATGAGTGGCTGGATGGACTGATGTAAGTTGCCCCCTGTGCATGCATGTCTCTGGGCATTTTGTTGCCTTGTGTCCTGTGCTTCAGGTTCCATGTTCACCGGTACCCTGTTTTGGATAATGGATGATGGGCGGATTTTGTGTTTCAGCGTAAAGCTGCTGTCCGTGGTCCTGATGTCAGTTACAACTGAATACCAGCCCATACTTGGAGGCCAGCACAGGCTATTTTTTAAGACAGTTGTTTTATATATAATAACTGGTAATGGCACTTAATAATGCCATTTTGAATATAAACCATTAAAGCTTCTCTGAACCTCACAGCAGGTTTTCATTCTAGACTATTTTCAGTGCTTCGCTATGCATGTTCCTGAAAATTAAGTCAAATTACGTTACATTAAAACCCGTTTCTAAAATTCAAATAATCGGTTCAGACTGATGCATATTATAAGGAATACAATGAAATATGTTTTTGTCTATTTCTGTGCAGGAATCATTAATGAGTGAGTTTTTTGACAGTATATAAACCAACACAATAACCACATACATTACAGTAAAAAACAAAGTGACGCCTGCTGTATATCATTCAGATTAAAGACATTTTCGGTCTAATTCATAAAAATGATGATTGATCAGCTGATTGTGTTAGCGCCTCAGCCATCATTGTGAGTTTATCTGCTGTTTGCCACTCAATCTCCATGACTATGAAGTGCAGCGGTGTTCCTGTGAGCAGAGACTACTATATTTTTCATAAGAAATGGGTAAAAGAGGGCTTCAGGGTCTGGTTCCTCAGAGGCCTCCTGCAGAATACATATTAATTCCCTGAGACGGAAGGAACGCTCTGCGTCAATAAAGAGTCTTTGATGTTGGGTGAATACCCATTTTTCGCAAAGTAGATGGCTGCATATATGCAATTCCTTTGTCAAATCCACAGTATCTTACACTGGATCTTGTGGGTCAAATAAGATGACTTTTGTGGCCACTAAGAAGATGCTGCTCATGAAATGTGAAGATCTGGTCCAGGACAAAAAGGTAGACTAAGGAGTGAAAGGTACTCACATTCACTCTCGCCCCCTGGTGGCTGATAGAAGGAAAGACCCAGTGAGATCATTGCGGCTACCTCCAGGATAATAAGGGTGACATCCTGCAGTGCCTCCCATACTAACTGTAGGAAAGTTTTTGGCTTCTTGGGAGGAATGAAGTTTTCTCCGTAGATCAGTTTCCTGTTGTTAATGTCAGTGGCAGATCCAGACAACCCTACAAGAAGATACAATATACATGTCAGTAAACAACTATGGTCCATGAAGGTATTACAGAACTTATTATTATGGGAAGGACAATAATTGAGACTTAGTCAGAAGTACCAGAAAAAGCAAGTCATTGTGTGTAGTGCAAGTGATTTGTTTTTAAGTGTGAGTCGTTTTCACCATGACTATGGTTTAATCCACTATGCTGATGAGGAGCAAACCTGCTGCTGAATGAATTGTAGCTCCTCAAAAAAATGTCACCCTTGGTTGTGGAACTGTAAATATGTCCCCCCCCCACCTCACTTCAGTCCCATTGTCTCATGTAAATTCTGCCTCAAAGTCCAAATGGGAAACGATACTATTTTGCTGGCTTTCTAGAGAAGCAATTCAAAAGCTAAAACATTGTTATGTTGCTCTCAAGTGCCAGACTGTGTCATTCTACCTCTTCACATATGATAATAGTGATTAAATATGTAATAAGTCAGATTAAAATCACTAAAAAGATGAATAGCAGTATGATCATACTGGATCCGAACTATTGCTACAAAATAAAACTACTCCTAGCACAGAAATGATGACATCATCATTTTATATTTGACTACAATGGATATAATTCTGCTTGAACAGTTCTCTGTGATAATTATACTTAAGAACATAAGCATCACATTCGCACGGCATTTTGAGCAAAACAACAAACATGTACAATGGGTTAAACCAGTGACCCAGAGAACTATTTTTGGATCTGACCACTGTTCTACATCGCTGGATAATTTATAAGGCACAATCTGTGCTTTGTTTGGAGAGACAACTACCAGCAGCATAAAGCGGAAAGACAAAGTGTTCTCAATATTTTAAAGCCAAATATTGAATTATGGATTTCGCATGTCGGTCAGAATAAACAGAACTTTCTACAGCTTGCTGTCATTTTACTGTGGCTGCATTGTATGAATTTGTAAAGTTACCTTTATATATTTTATTTTGCCAGGTATTGCGTCCTCTCTGCCGCGCCTGCCTGACCATCCTACCTCCTCCCTTATGTGTCCCTGATGGGTCACACCTGATGCTTATTGCCACTGTTTTGTCCATATATTTCAGCACCTGTTTCTCTCATCCTCACTGGTCTGGTCATTGACGTCGTTCCATCTTGCTGCCTGTGTCCAGTCCTCCCAGTTTTGATCCCTCATGATTCCGTTTATTTTTATTCTTTGTTCATCGAGTTCAATAAACCTCCTTTTGTTTCTCTGCCATGCCTGCCCCCCACCCCGAGTCCTTCGTCCTGGCGGTCGTGACACTCATTTGCTTTTATAGAAATACATTTACATGAATCAATTCACTGGATGTTGCATGTTGAAGTAATATTCTCCAAAAACATCCATAATATCAGCGTATGGCTCAGCGGGCTGAGCCTCTGTGCCTGTGCTCAGAAGGTCACTGTTTTGAGTCCGGCCTCAGCACGTTTATGGGTCCTTGAGCAAGGCCCTTAACCCCCAGCTCCCAGGGTGCTGCTATGGGTGGCTGCCCTTTGCTGCCAAGCTCGCTCTCACCTCCAGATAACGAGTTGGGGGAGTGCAAAGAGAACTTCCCCATGTGGATCAATTATTATCATTAATGTCGGTGAAGTAAAGTAAAGATCCTGCCAGAAATGTTAGCCCAAATGACTCTGCATTACGGTGTCCAGCCTCTCCTTTTGCTAACGACCAAAGACAACAGGGTTCCCAACATAAAGACGAGGCTGAGAACCTCCATGTCCGCACAGAGAATAACCAGCAGCTTTTCATGTGTCAGTGCCTTGCCTCCTAAAACATACATGCAGTTCCCCCATCTACCATCAGTACACATTTTCTTTTTTCCACATTATGCTACTTTCTGTGAATCATTTGTCATTTGAAGGAGAAATACATAAAAATGAATGTCACTAACCAATACAGAGTTCATCCACATGCAATTATACTCAAGGAAACAGATATTTAATCACGTATGTCTCCAAATCACCTCTATGATATGCACTGTCATGGCAAGGTCACATTTGGATATACAAGCTAGGTCTTAACAGATGGATGTAACTAATATAGAAGACAGCGGGCAGCTCTGCCAAAGAGACCCAGGTGTGCTGCCAGGACGGATGCAGTTTCATCAGCAGCTGGGCAAACCAGACAGGGCACACTGCTTGTTTGCCTGAGGCCTGGATAAACACAACAGGGGTTTGCTGTTATTTCAGCTGCTCATGCAGTCCAGTGGCGTGTGACGGACCAAGGAGCGTTTTCAGGACCCAGAGCTGAGGCGGGAAAGATTATGGCTGGATGACAGTAAGCCTCAACCCCTAAGGCACCATTAGCTCATCACAAGAGTGCAATATTTAAAAACCCCGATGATCCCTGAAAATCCATTTTCATAAAATAAATAAAAAAAGCCCAGGTGCATGTTGTGTGTCTTTCGATCGAAGCCGAGTGATGGAGGGTTTTCTCTTCTGCAGCCGGCACTCAGAGAATATAATCAGTGATTTATCATTATTCATCATTGATAAAATGGGGCCTGTTGGGAAATTAGTGGGGGTGGGGGGGGCGGAATCTTCAGGTAAGCTTGGACCTTCAGGAACTCAATTTATTCTGTCAGTTATGCCAAACACTTCAAATAATATCCATCTTTATAAGTGACTAAAATGTGAAACTGAGAATAATTGATAAATAAACTGTGAGTAATTTATCTGAGTATTGGCAGCCTTTAGACAAAAAAAACAACAAAATGATTAATGGCACAAATTTAAAAATCTCCTACCATATGAAGGTTCCACGAAATGTATTTTCTTTATCATTTGAAGTATTCACATTATATCTACGATTAAACCTTGGCTGCCTTCATTTTACGATTAAGATTATTAATCTATACGGTAATACTAGTTCCCGTTCCTTGTTTTCTCATGTCTCTGCACTTCTAATTCAAATTATTTCTATATTCGACCGGGTCCTTCAGAATATAACAAAATTCTGATCAGCCTCACAGATATATTTATACAAATTATAGATCAAGCAGCAGTGTCTCCTGTAGACATCTTAATTTTAAAGATTAATTAATACTTAAGATTATCAAACCCCTCCCCCCCCAAAAAAAATGGTGAAGTGAAGTAGGGCAGCCTCACTGCAAGGGCAAAAAATATTTTAGCCTCAGCCCACTGGATACTGATTGACACTGCTGACTTCTAACAAAATCACATGAGGGATGTCAAAGAGCAAAGTATAATTCATGGCCGGATGAAGCAGTGAACGCAGTGAACGCCTTGTTAGCAGAGTTATTGCTCCATTGGGTACATGTGGGCTAAACAGGAGATCAGATCCATGCCTGCATATAGATGATGGCTGAAAATCGATACATTGACAGAGTATTTAGTCCGCTGTGCATGTTTCACTCAGATGCAGTGCCCTGTGGTCCAGTGACTTGTAAGCTTATGCAAACTCACATGCGCACACACATCCTCCAGTGACACACTCATACTTAACAAATCAGAAAGTCTACTGACAGCAATGAAGACAGAGGCATTTTTAACCCTGTAAGAAAGAGACATAATCTCTCTTTTGCATGCTTTGCTTTAAAATGACGAAGGATCGTTTGTTATTCTATAGCACCTGCTTATTGGACGAATGCAACACGCGTTGACAACCAGCACTTCAGTTCCAGGAATATTGCTCCTCATCGGAATTGCTGGTTTCATTTGACAAATAATAATAACAAACAAAGAGTTATTTTTCAGGGGCAAAATATTTTCGGATAAAGTGTGCTTTTTTGGAGATTGCTATTTTATTTTGACTAGATTACCTCTTTTTATTGACCCACTGTATTCCCACTTCAAAACCATGTATATTTGCAAATGCGTGAGTATGTCGAACTTTTATATATGGAAGAGGTTGTGTAAAGCCGATTGTGTCATATAAACAACGTTTATTGGTGTCGGAGAGCGCGGTGAATGCCTCTCTGAATGTCTGAGGATTTCTAGTTAGCGCCTTTGAAGCAGGATTCCATCAGGCCAAAAAGTGGATGTAAGTTCATTAACAGAGCTTCCTTCTGCAGTGTTCCCAGGACAAAATCAGAATAGGTGCAAAGATGTGAGGTCATATCACTGTCTGCTTCATCACTGTGACCGACATCAAGCTATTTTTTCCTGGAGACAGTGGGGATTTGGGCTCTCAAGGGGTTTCTGGTTGGACAGCCACATTATTATTAATTTGTGTGTAGAACCAGGACACCCAGCCATGAATTCTGCAATGTCACATGTCGAGCAGATATAGAACTAATGAAAGTGACATATCTGAAATGTACTGCAGATGGGCATTTTACAATAAGTGCACCACTGGTTTACAAATGACTCATGCGAGTTGACATTATTATTGGATCAGTTGACATTGTTGTCCCATTGTAAAATACTGCATGTATTGACACTTGCATTTTTTTCCAGTGTCTAAAAATAGATCGCCATGGAAACGCGAAGTATGGCACCGGCATGGCTGAAGCACTTGAGAGCAGCTGATGCAGCCTCTGCGCGGTGGGCTCTGCTGGCTTACGAGTGCAGCAGACAAAAGGATGGTGTTGAGAAAGATTGCCGCATTATCCGGTTTACTTTGACGCCTGGAGAAAAAAAAAAAATGCCTCCAGAGAGTGAATTACTGGCACTGTTTGACAGATAAGTGTGCAGGATTCAAGATTGCCATGAAAAACAAGTGCTGGCCTCTGACAGAAATGCCCATAGAACTGGGAAAGCCAGGTTTGAGAAAGATTGCCAAAGGACAGACAGAGGACTGCAGTCCACACCTCTCCAGCATCCAAATTATTACCTAAACACCCCCTCACCTCTCGCCCTACTTCACCAAGCTCAATCCATCATATCTATTGACAAGTATAGTAACACAGTGAAAAATGACAGCATTAATACCTCAGACACAGCAGTTAGATCTCCTGGCCTAAAAATGTCAGGCTAAGTGGTTTTACATCATACCTACAAGGTAGCAAAAAGTGGTTTCCATAGATACGTACCATAGAACACGGGTAGGTGATGACGGATGCCAGGGTGCGATAAACCATATATGTGCTTATTTTTATGAAGATGGATTTTTCATAAGAACAGCTTTATTTGGAAAGAGCGTCAAAACCCCTACAGTCTTTTGATGGCATCTGAGATGACATCTGTCTGTAATCTTGATAAAACTCTGCGATTACAATACCCATTCCGAGCTTGCATCTTTTCCCAGCAGATGAAAACGGATCAGGTTGGTAGAGAGTCTGGAAAGGTCAGGAAGAGGGTAGGGTCATGTTCGGCTGATTGCAATGCAGAGTGAATGTTGCTGTAACATTCAAATTAACAGCGCAGGACATTACTTAGTGAAAAACAGGACCTGATTGGTCAAGATATTTTACTGCCTAATACAGGCACAATATTCCTCCGGCTGCTCATTCCTTGACACCTGCAGTCCGCTGGTCCTCAGTTTATAGCTCGTTACCTCAAATGGAGGTGGAGGCTAAAACCAAGAAAGCAAAACCCCAGACATGCATCCAGCCAGAGAAACGTGTGAAAATTGTCTTTTTCAATAAAAGCTTCAGCAACGGAACAGAAGTGCACTTGCTACTTTCTCAATAATTTGCAATTTCCAGCATCTTCCTGTTGTATAAGTTTTTATTTTTGTGCACTTAATGATCTGTCTCCATCTATGCCTTACCATCGCTAGCTTATTGTAGAATACTGAGAAGGAAGGGGAAAGCAGAGAAAATACTGTGGAACAATTTTTATGCAGATAATTATTTTATTAAATCATGCAGTACCTTATACAGGCTGTTCCTGACTTGGAACCTTTTGTGAATTACGATAACTTGCACATATGACCAAAGTTCAAGAAAAGGAAATGCATATAAAAATTCATTTTGGATGACCGTATGCCCAGCAGCACGATGCTTCCTGGTACGCGCTCCACGCTGTAAGACTATTGCTGCACAGCAGCGCAACTCACCCAGCTAACACATCTTCCTCTCTCATTCTCATCCTAGTCCGACATATATCCATTTTGACATATGACCTGGCCAGTCATAAGTCAGGTAAAGTCTATACAAGCATGGGCATAAATTATGAGGAGGTGGGGGGGGAGAGGATTGTAACCCCCCCCCAATAATCAAAACCAGCCAATACAGCCCCCTGGACCTCCTAAAATGCGTGAAGACCTCAGCCCAAAGTTATGCCCTTGTGTACAAGGAGTACAGCGTATGCAAGAACTGATTCCTCCTATTGTACATACATCTTTGAGGTTTCAATAAATGCTCTTGAAGTTCAAAACACTAGGCGTTTCCCCTCACAATCCCCAGCACTGAGATATACCAGAGATGAAAAGCTAACTGTCCACACAAGCAGCTGAGTAACAATGTACAGAACCCATCTGCTCGCATTTGGCATTCGTGTCATTGAGGGGTGCAGTTCTGAGCGAGCTTCCCTTTCCACTAAAAATGCTACACAGCCCCACAAAATACTTCAGGATTATGTTTTAACCTTTTAGAAAGCCATGTCCTAAAATAAGATCATGTACATTTGCTGCAGTGTGTGCAAAATGACCCATTCTAGACCTCAGTAGCATAATTAGTCAAAACACGACTGTATGATATAAATCCAGAGCTGACAGGTTAGTGCCTGAATTATTACTGTCTCCTGTGTGGTGAAATGCTATGGAAAAGCCAGCAGATTAGGGTGAAGAACAGCGACACTGGCAATGCAGTGCATAGACTATGAATTAAACTATGACTATATGTGGTCATGTGTTCAACCCTTTCAGCGTCCATCACCCAAAATGCACCAGTTGCCACATTGTTATGGTTAACTGGCTACTAATAGCCCTGATACAGGCTTTCCAGATGGATCTAGATTAATCAACCATGTCTGGGAAGCAACAATGAACATCTGGTTACAGTTTCTGGCTGTCAGTGAACATCTGGTGACAGTTTCCTAGTATCAGTCACTTCTCCATCGGCGGCATACACTAGGCTGTATAATTACTTAATAAATCTGCCCTTTGATAAGTGACATGAACTGAGAAAGACTAAGAGAAAAAGAATTCTTTGCATTACATACCTTACTTCAGTGTAGATATGTTTGTTCCTGTTCAGACTAAGGCTGTGGTTCTAAGATACACATACTTACCTATAACATCTCCTCACTGATTCATTCATACCTCCACTCTGCTCCCTCACTCACATTCTTTCCTCACTGAGCTGCTCCAGTCCCTCCATACTAATTCTTACTCAATCACCTTCCATCGCTCATAAATTCACTTGTGTTCTCACTTTGTCATCCCTCTTTTTACTGTAGCTAATGCCTGTAACACCAACAATTACCAATCTGACATATAATCTATTTATGTCATTTTATGTACGTTTTTAAAATCAATGAAATAGCTGTTTATGCAACACTTGTCTACAGAGGTCACCCCCCGTCTTAATGAAAAAACTCCACTCAGATCTCATAAAGACAGTCACTGACGTTGGCCCTGTTATCTCAAGCCCAGTGTTGGTCCTTTTGTTGCATTTAAATAGTTATTTTCATGAAACATATGAAAGATTTTCTAGCTCATTCTTTCAATAGGCATATCGACCTTTGTGCAACTCCTCATGATCCCATCATTAAAGTTCATTTGACCTCATAGCGTAACAACATGGTAACACTTTGTCACTATTCTGTTGTTTGAGAACAGCCGCCTTCAGTGTGCTAATAAACGGCTCTGTTTTTATCTCTGGCCCTCACTGGTGAAGTAAGCCATGTCAGTATGTGTACCAACTTAGCCATTAATCTCTTCTTAATCTTGAATTTATCGTAACTGAGTGTAATGTCTGTGGTCTCCCAAGAAGAAAATTACTATTTTGTTTCAAGATATTTGTTTTAGCTGTTGACCATACCACACCACACCATACCATACCATACCACACCACACCACACCATACCATACCATACCATACCATACCACACCATACCATACCATACCATACCATACCATACCTCTTTAGTCTAAAACAGGAATAAATACGTTTCCTTACATCAGTGAAAAGACGTCCACTGCAATGGACATAAATGAATGGGTGGGGTCTCAGGAGGATATCATACCTCACCATATCACACCATACCATACCACACCACACCATACCTCACCATATCACACCATATCACACCATACCATACCACACCACACCA